TGCTGGAGGATTTGCCTAGGTCCATGGTCGGCAAACTGCGGCTCGCGAGCCACATGCGGCTCTTTGGCCCCTTGAGTGTGGCTCTTCCACAAAATACCACGTGCGGGTGCGCACGTGCAGTGCGATTGAAACTTCGTGGCCCATGCACAGAAGTCGGTATTTTGTGGAAAAGCCGATATTTTGTGGAAGAGCCACACTCAAGGGGCCAAAGAGCCGCATGTGGCTCGCGAGCCGCAGTTTGCCGACCATGGACCTAGGCAAATCCTCCAGCATGGACCTGGGTTGCCACTTTCTATAAGGAGACAGATGTTCAGCCTTGCAAGGAGGAAGTTCAAGGAATTTAAAGGGAGGAGTGAGAAGAAAAAATATTAATGTTGGGAGAAATAAAAGAATGTGCAAGCTTTAGAGGTCCCTGGAAAATAATGTGGGCAAGGGGTGGAGCTGGAATGAGATTCTATCACATCCAGTTGTCAAGAGTTCAGGCAAGCCCCAGCTAGTTTTGCTCAGAGGTTAGAGCGTCAGCCCGTGGATTGAAGGGTTTCAGGTTTGATTCTGGTCAAGGGCACATACGTTGGTTGCAGGCTTGATCCCCGGCCCCAGGTGGGGTGGGTGCAGGAGGCAACCAATGGATGTTTTTCTCTCACATCGATGTTTCTCTCTCTCTGTCTCTCCCCCTCCCTTTCACTCTCTCTGAAAATCATCAATGGAAAAATAATCCTCAGGTGAGGATTAACAACAACAAAAAAAAAGAGTTCAGGCAACAGAGGGAGGCCCCAAGGTGGCAAGTCAGAACAGCCCACCATGTCCACCACCGGGACAGGCAACAGCAAAGGCCAAATCACTTCAAGGTGAGATGCACGACCCACAGGGGAGGCGCTGGACCCACCAGCACCAATAAGTAAAGCTGTGCAATCAGCCCCTCCCAGTGCCCAGAGCAAGGCCAGAGCCCTCGGCTTTAGCTTCTCAGGACGGTGTTTTTAGAACCCAGCTCTAGTAGAACCATTGTAACAAACTGAAACACAGACCCTACAGTCACACATGGCAGCTCGTGTTCCCTGCCTTGTACCTCTAGTCTCTGCTAAAAAATGAATGTTCTTTTAAATAAATTTCAGTTCAAACTCACACCCTCTGCGTCTTCAAGTTTCTGACCTAGAAATCGGGGTCAATTCCAGCACTGAGGAGTAAGCGAGATAATACATATTCTGGTGCTTGGCACCTTTCCTCATAGTAAATGCTCACTAAACAGAAGCCACACACATTCTCATCACTAAACGTTGTTTTTAGTTGGTGGTGTTTTGGAAGATCTGTGAATAAATTCAGTCGCAAATCAGTAAAAATGTCATTCATCTGTCCACTGGTTCAAGAAATGTGGTCTCACACAGCTGCAGTTCTTTAGGTGTGCAGGGAAGCACACTCAGGAATAGGAAAGGCGCATTTGGCTCTGCAGAGCTCAAATCTGGGCAGGGTGAGAAGACCCCCAAGGTCTTCCGTGGCTCCAGTCCTGGGAGCCGGCAAACACCCAATGGAGGAGGAGAAGCCTGTGGCCCCGGAAGATAAAACTACCAGGTCATGCCAAGTCGGGCTTGTCACATGACTTTGGGAAGGTATGATTTTTCCTCCCCCCAAGGATCCGCAAATCTCCATATTCAGAAAGTCTTCCACATACTCAAGACTTAAATCACAGCGTGAGGGTCCTTGAACATTTTCTTTGCTTCCTAACATAACTGCTTATTACTAATCAGTGATTGAAAATGATGCCCAATGGACGTAAATCAAAAGGAGAGAAGACCAAGTTCTATTTGCAGGTCATTAGGAGATAAAATTTGAGGAGAAAAATGGAACCTCCTTGCAGAAGTCTGGGGGTGATGATCTGGGCCCAACCAGTAGTTCTTGTCCTAAGATCCCTACGATGGACTTTGGTCAATGCCAGTGAATCTGCTCTTGTGGAGAATTCCATTTCTAACCCCTCCCCCATTCCTTGCCCCTCCTCCACCCCGAATTATCTGAGAGGAGAAGATGCAAGCCTGTAGGAAGCTGAAGCCAGCCTCCACCTGGCCTTGTGCCTGGCACCACAGCCAGCATCATAGCTATTCACACAAGCTAGCCAGCCAGGCCAGGGTGTCTCCTGGCACATGCCAAAGACCTGACTAGGATCCCTGGGAAGTATTCCTGCACAGCCATTCGACATACCCCAGGAGAGTCCATCTGAGCCTGGTCCCTCCCTTCTGAGCTCTCCCACTGCTGTGCCTGCAGCAGGTGAGGCGGTGGACACCCGAGTCCCTCTCCACACGGGACACTGGTCTGGGCATGCCGAGACACCAGACACACCTCATGCCTGCAAGGAGCTCACAGCTGAGTGGGTAGGACAAGTTACTACACAGGGTGACAAGGACTGTGAGAGAAACAGCCTGAGTTTGGGGACTGAGAACCATGGTGGAGGGGAAAGAGGCTTGAAGGACAAAGAAGGTGGCCCTCCACCTGTTGTTGGATTCAAGACCCTATTAATTTTGAACGTTTGTGGATGCATCTTTCAGGGACAAAAAAAAAAAAGGTGGCTCTTGGTTTAAATCTGAATATTCATGAGGGCATATACCTTCTTACCAAAAAATCATCACCAACAGCCTCACTGTCACGACCAGCCTGGTGATGATCTGCTCCTCCCCCATGGTAAGTGCAGAAGTTCAAGGGCACAGGTATGGTGGGTAAGAAAACTGACTCCCTTGTACTGGCTGGCGCCCCCAGCCCCTGCAGAAAGGTCAGAGGGGGCACAGGTAAGGGAGGGGGACCTACATATGTTCCAGCAGAAGCAAATGGGCCAGGAAGGACGATGAAAGAAGTTTAAGGCTGAGTGTGGAATACAGGCAGCCTCAGAGGGAGGGCAGAGAGAGACTTCTCCAGAGGGATATGGTGCAAAAAGGGTCCATTCTCTCCTTCACCAGTCAGGATGCCTTATCCGGGCTGGTGAGCGACCTTGCTGACGGGGTCTGGCTCCTGGGTCCCAGACCTCAGCAGGTGTGTAACTTTTAGCCAAACTGCTGACTTTCCCAGCCTTAATCACATTCCAAACCAATGGTCCAATGGAATAACAATGTCTTTCTTGTAAGGGCTGCCAGCCACAAGTGTGAACCCCTTGGAGGGTGGTCACAAACCCCAGCCTTACCCCAACCATGAACTACAAGGAAGGAGCGTAGCCTCACATGCAGCAATCGTAACTGGGAAGGCACGGCGCCTGCCATGTCCCTGCCACGTGTCACACACAGTTGTTAGGTTCTCTCACTTTCTCCTAACAGCCTAGAAAACATTTTCTCCAATTTACAGATGAGGAAATTAAGGGCGAGTCATTCTCCTCATCATTCCACACCAGTCGGGGAGGCTCTGTTCTGGGCACTGAGGCCTGGCACTGAACACGGCACGTGCAGGCCTACTCTTGGGCAGCATATATTCTGGGGGGAAAGATAATAAACAGAAAATAATCCCCGGTGCTGGTAAATGCAATAAAGAAAATACAACAGGATGATTTGCTAGACTGACACAGAGGGACGGAATTAGAGGAAAGTTGACTCCAAGTACGGGGGAACAGCCAGTGCAAAGGCCCTGAGACACGAATGCGCTTGACTTATTCAAGGAAGAGAAAAGGGGTCAGTGTGGGAGGGGTGGGAGGCAAGGTAGGAGAGCAGAATCAAATTCCTCTGGGAAAAATAAAAGGCCAGCCCTCACTCCCTAAGAAAGGTGAGGCTAGTGTGGATACTGGGTTCCCCCTAGTCCTCACTTTTCTCTCCATTAAGCCAATTTTTCTCGAGAAGCATGTTCTTTGAACAGGGAGAAGAAATAAAGGAGAAAAATAGTCAATATACTGGGGAGGTAAGACATTAAAACCAAAGGAACCCAGGATTCACCCCGTAGGACCAGCTTCAAATCACAGGGGCCCCAGACCATCAACCCCAAGTTAGTTTTCTATTTCTAACCTGTAAAACCTGAACAAGCCCTCAAGATAGTGAACTAATCTGGCACTATGGCATGGGTGAGGCACAGTTAATGAGACCTGCCCGCCTTGCTCCTCTGAGTGGCTGGAAGAGAGGTAAGAACACACTCACTTACATACAAAAGACAGGATTCTCAGATAACTGAGCTGGTTGAGTTTTTATACTGTTCTTAGAAATCCTTCCTGCTGGAAAGGGGCAAATGAGGTCAAAGCCATTCCTCCCACTCTATGAGCAACCACCCGAGCCCATGATAAGCAAGGACGCCCAATTTCCAGGGCAGCCCTCGCTAATCCGTTCAGCCGCCACCTCTACAAAAGGACCATTACTGCCTGGTCTACCACCCCACTGCCCCTGCTTTTTAATTGAACCACCAAGACCGGATCTCTTCTCCAGATGCCCAGAACACGCTACACCTTGACTATTCTACCCCAGGGAAAAGCCCAAGGGAAGCAAAGGAAAGTTACAGCCTGGACGAGCAACACAAGACGGAGACGGACTTAGTAGGTCCAGAAAAATAAGAAAAAATAAATTGGCTGAAAGACAGCTACTCCCAAATGAGGAAACATCCCTGAAGAGCTGGTGACTTTGTAAGCAGAATCCCATGGACACCAGGTGCAAATGCACTGGATGTGGGGCCTGTCTGTGTAGGGAACCAGGAACCCCACTGAGAAGACCTCTCCCTCCCTATACTGGGGGTTGAATAGTGTCCCCCAAATTCATGTCTACCTGGAACCTCAGAATGTGACCTTATTTGGAAACGGGGTCTTTTTTAGATGTACAGTAATGAGTTAAATTAAAACAAAGTCATGCTGGATTAAAATAGACCCTATCCCAATGACTGGTGTCCTTCTAAGAAGAGAAAACAGACATACAGATAGAATGCCAGGTGGCAACAGAGTCAGACACTGCAGTGAGAGGTCTGCAAAGGAACGCTGAGGACTAGAATGGCCTGGCCATTGGACTTCTAGCTTCCAGAACTGGGAGAGAACACATTCCTGTTGTTTTAAGTCCTTTCGACCGGGGCTACTTTGTCATGCAGCCCTAGGAAACCATCCGCTCTATTTCACACCTGTTCCCCACTCCACGGGTCCCAGTCTCATCCCAGATCCCAGGGGTGGCAGGCAAGACACACCCGCCATGCCTCCAGCCTACCTGGACTTTCCACCTCCTCAGAGCACTTCTGCCTTGGAGGTGAGGGGAGTACAGGGATCATGTTTCACCTCCCCCCACCTGCCCCCAGAGGCAAACTGGCAGGGGAGTGTTTGTTTTCTCCTCACATCCTCCGAGATTTACAGCCACTCATTGAGATTAGGATGTCTTAAAGCTTATTCGGTCCTTCTTTATAACTGAATCACTACTTTTACGTAACTTTCTATTTTTTCGTACATGCCTTTAACTTTTTTATTGTTGACAGGATTACACCCTTTGCCCTCCTCCACCCAGCAGCCCCTGCAAGAGCTGCTACATCGCGACAGTACACGGGAAATCAGCATCATTTATCCTATGCAAGACCTGCTAGATACATGTTTTTAAATTGCACATTAAAATATTTTAAGGCCATTCATTCATTCATTCACCTTTTAAAATAATCTCGGGTGGCACTACTGTGGGAAGTACCCCCGTATGGAGTACAGTGACTGTCTCGGGTTTTAGCTGGCTGGGAGCTCTGGGCGCCGAATCAGAAAATCCAACCGAGCCTTTCCGACCCAGACTCTCCGGGAGAAGGCTCAGGGCGGGAGCAAGGAAAGGCACCCGGAGTTCCTAGGTCGCCCGCGGGGTAACCTAAGTAGACAGAGTCCGGAGCGAAGGGGACTTTAAAGCCCCAGCCAGAGAGCGACGAGGGCGGGGAGGGACTGACCTTCTCGCGCAGGGTGCAGTGGACGTCCGAGGCGACGCGCCCTTCCCACCACGGCTCATCCATCACTGCGTCTTGTCTTCGGCGCCGCGATCCGAGGCTACTGGGCTCTCAGGGCGCACCCTGCGTGGACACGGGCACCTCAGACGCCGCAGCCACCCCACTCCGGGCATCCCTACCCTCGCTGCCCCGAGCCGGGAGCCCCCTCCTGCCCATCTCAGCGGAGCGGGCGGTCGCCTCCAGTCCCGGGAAGGTTGCGGTGTCCCTTCCCCTCTGTTCGTGGGACCTGGGGGAGACCTGCAGCTGTGCAACAACTTGCAGAATTTTTATCTTCCCTTTTGCAAAAGTTGCACAGCAAGTTGCCCACTCCGCTCGCTCAGCCGAGGCTGGGGCTCCGGCAGCGGCCACCAGCTCGCAGCTCCCAACTCCTCCCCCGCCGCCCAGCCTTTGTCCTGCTCCCACATCCTGCCCTCGAGCCGGGGCGAAAAACTCACGCATCCCTCTCCGGGCGTGGGTTGTTGCGGGCACCGAGCCCCTCCCAGGGCCGAGGCGAGGGG